AACGAATCTGAGTTAGAATATTAATTTATTCTTTTTCAATAGGTTATGTACTGCCTGTTTGAATACTTTATATATACTTTATATGTGTAGTACAAGTTCCCATAGCTAGATTGTTTTATTTTCTAATTCAAAATTTGTAAGCCTATTCTATTTAGACTCTTCCTAAAGAAGAGTCTATTTAGACTCTATCCTAAACTGTCTTGGATATTGGATATAGTAGGGTTTACAGTCATGAGTTCTTATTGTACAGTAAGAGGGTTATCACCAATTAGGGGGGAGATTTTGCTCCATGTATACACCACATTGGAAATTGTTGTTTTGACAATATTGTTATTGTCATTTCATCTTTCTAGTAAAACAAAGAATATTAGAAAAAAATAGAGGAACTGGTTGGGTTCTAGTTAGTTGACGTCTTAACCTGTTATCAAGTCTGTTAGAGCTTTAAACTCCCTTTAGTTGAAGTTTTTCATAATTTGGGATGCTGGGTTTTTATTCTGCTATAACTGCTAATTCCTACTCATTGTGGGAAGAATATGAGGCTACTTTAAAAAGTTTGTGGAAAACTCCATATTTTTTTATTCCATTTTTCCACAAGCATAAAAGTCTTCTAGACCACAGAAGCTTCTTCATTTATGGGTAAAGCAGCCGCCTAGTTGGCCTGTAAACCGTCTTTACAGAGAAAGGATCACACCAAAATCCAGACCACCAAGGACTGACTATTACTTTAAAGCACTTTGCCGACTGGTGTTCCAGGAGTACTGTCTTTCTTTGTAGGATGGTTTAACAATGTACCGTGGAAAATCCTTTTCTCTGTTAGAAATGTAAAATCTTTCTTTACTACAGTACTACTTTTTCCAGTGCTGTTGAGTAATTTCCCAGCTCATGGTGATCCCCTTTGTATCACAGTAGAAATATGCTCCATAGGACTTTTACTAACTGATATTTTAGAAGTAGATTGCCAGCCCTTTCCTTTGAGGTGCATCTGAATGGATTTGAACCCTCCAACCTTTTGGCTAGAAGCTTAGTGCATTAACTATTTGCACCACCTTTTGCCACACATTGTGTGACTCTGGAGTGGGTATTGGGGAATAAAGCTAATTGTGTTTCCCAAATACACTCAACCCTGGAACCCCTACAGTGATTTACAATTCATGTTTGAGGCACATAGTTCGGGAAACACTGCCTGACAGGAAAAGTACACCGCCTAGCAGCAGAGAATAGAGACCTTGCCTTGTCACCCAAAATGCGCGATATTCTAAATGCCTAAACCTTAAGCTTTCAGTAAACATAATTGTCAGAGTGAAGTTTTACAATGTGGCCACGTTAAAAATAATAATAATAGTAATAAACATGTGGAAACTTAAAACAATCCATAATACCTTTCCTTCTCTAGTTACTAATTAATGGTTAATCTCCCAATAATAAAATAGCTGTTTGAACCTTGGATCATACCCCTGGGCCCTTTCTGGGAAGCACAGGGAACCTCGTGAACTAGGTTGTAGTGCAGCCTCGGTTTCAGAGCCCCAGGGAGCTCTTAAGCAGCAATTATAAATTACAGTAAAGAGTATTTTAAATTAAAAAAAAAATTTTTTTTTTCAAAGTCATGGGTAGGAGTGCCCATGCCTGTAATTTTCAGCCCTAAGTGGCTTTACTCTATTTTATTGTCGCTGTCTAGAATTAGTGCTATAAACAGCATGCGGTTCGGTGATTAAAACCTGCCTCAATGTGTCCTTTTCAGAAGTAGAACTGCCAGTAGTTATTCCAGCAAAACTAATTTCTATAATCATTATGGACAGACTTGGTGACAGTTTATAGGCAGAGTCAAAGGTGGCATAGCTTAGTTCAGTTTTGTCTTGCAAACACAGAAATGAGAATTGATTTCATTGAGAACACAAGTCACAAAAATTGCCTGTGATCCCTAGTCTTTTAACCCCCAAATGATTTCATCTGTTAGTAGACAGCTTACTTTCTAAGGATAACTTGCAAGGTATATGTTGTTGTTGTTGTTAAGTATCTTGAGGTTAGTAGCCCAATTTGTAACCACTATGCTACCAGAGCTCCTTTGCAAAGTATATAGCATTTCTAAAAATTATGTCTCAAATTTCATTAAAATTAAAGTGAATTTTAAATGTCTATATGGTAGCATTTCTCTGCTATGCATAGAGTTTTCAGTGACTGGATTCAGAAGAGGCCGTGGAACGAGAGATATCATTGCTGATGTCCGATGGATCTTGGCTGAAAGCAGAGAATATCAGAAGGATGTTT